CATAAAATTTAAAAATATGAAGATACGAGTATCTTTTTCCTTTAGTGTAAGTAAAGTTTTAGGGGACAATATGGGATTGTGTTTGCTAACGACATACGCTGGCGAGGACGATATGATTACCAATAAATAAACTAAAGCAATTCTACAAATTATTTTAGTTATAGAAAGTTACTTATTTGACGACCTAGGTGATCTAGCGCAATGATTCCCAAAGTGGTTTATGTCGACCCCCAGGAGTCTATGAATACTGCAGGGGGTCTACGATGGCGGTCATACTTATGTTTTTAACACTAAACTTTACTACAGTTAGAAATTTACAAAAAATCAATATAAGAATGCGGGGTCTACCCAAAATCGAAAAGTATGGCAAGGGATCTACGACACAAAAAAGTTTGGGAACCTCTGGTCTAGCGGTGTAGTGTATCGTTTTATGTTCAATAGTTGTGGTTTCGATTTCTCGCACGGTACAAACATTTGTATTCATAAGTATGATTTATCTTGCTCGGAGTTTTTTTATGAATATCGTGTATCTATTTACAAAAATAAGTGTATTGAAGTATTTTTATCAGTTGTCTAGTACACATAACACAAGCTCTGCTTAGCTTGGAGCTAAATGACGCTGTGAAAATTGTCCGGACTTATTATTATTATTGTTTTGAAGGCTATTTTTCTCTCGTTTTCTTTTGCATGAAAAGAGATAATACTAATAATAATAAATGATTACTATTCAAATTCAAAATTTCTTTATTCATGTAGGTCTATTACAGATTCTTATGATATGTAGTTCGGAATGATTTCGAGATGAGAAGAACTGACATGAAACTCAACTCGTATTTTTTCAAATAAATGTTGTACATGTTTACTATAACACAGATTAATTTTTAAATTCAAATTTGGAATGATAGAGTGACTACCAGCGTATGCTATTGTAATTTTGTCAAAAGAAAATAGTCTAATCAGTGTTCATAACCAGAATAGACCAGTCCCCACAAGTAGCACCCGTTGACGAGAATGACGGTATTATTATTACTAATAATTACAAAATTATTCCTACGCGTCTTCTGTTCGCACCTGTACCAACACAACGTTAGCAGTGCTTTCAATTTGCTCATTGTCTTTGAAAATAGTGTGCTCTTGGTTGTTTTTATTTTTAGTTGTTTGTCGAGCGGCTTTCCTTTATTTCACTTAAGCGTACGGTACGACTCGTAGTGGAATATATTAGCAACATGTTCCAACGTGCTGATGTTAATTTATTATGTATTGTCTACAACTAAATAATATAAGAGATAGTGTACCACAATGACAGTCAGTAATAAACTATTACTTGTGCATAACAGTTGTTTCCATTACCGTGTCATCTTATACATATCACCTATACAGAATAAATTTAATTGTTTACACTTGTAAATCTCGATAATTGTTATTTAATTTTATTTCCTAATGTGTCTAATTGTATATAGTATATAGTTATTTATTACTATTAAAAATTAATACTAACTAACATTATTAACCTAAAACTAAAAACCTTAAAAAATATAAGATAACAACTAAAATATATTGTTAAAAGGAGTCCCTTTAGGCAAGGTTCCGAAGATACTTTAAATAGCTATACTAATTCTTTGTCCTATACAGATATACATACTTCACTATAACATTCAACTTGATAATACCACAGATAAGATACTACATCACAATACTATCAATATATATGGGGTTAATCGTAAAGCAGAAACTTTGGTATAATGTTCTTGAAACTGTATCCTTCACCAAGAAGTAATAATATCAGTATTCATATATTAATACATGAAGCAAAACAAAACAATTTCTTAAAAAAGGTTGTAAACCCTTCTTTACGAAAATTGCATGGAGAAGTATGAAATTTCGCACATCATCATTATCATCAGCCCACTGCAGTCCGCTGCTGGACATAATCCTCACCCAAAGCACGCCACTGTGCACGATCCTCAGCCTTTCTCTTACGAGCATCCGTTCTGCTACAATTTTCATAAATTTATAGTTTACTGCTGTCCTTACAGCTAACCCGGCAAACGTTGTTTTGCCATATAAATTAAAATCGCTATTAAAAATAGGGGTTGATGTTAGAAGGGTGAAAATTTATGGTTGTGTATTTTTCAATCCTAAATAATAATAAAATGAAAATTTTTTCGACATAATATTTCAATATTATTATTATATTTAGAAAAAAATTTAAATGAAAAAATAAAGAATGAAAACGTTGAAACTTATTTTTTATATTTCCACTCTGTTTCTTGTTAAAAATAATACAATATTGTTTGTCTGTTACTTGACTACCTGATTAGGATATACTATGTTATATATATATATATATATATATATATATATATATATCTGTCTCGGCGAACTTAAATTGCGTGTAAATATTTATACATTAATTTTTTCAATGTTTTACTTTGTTCCTGTTAAATAATGTTTTAGCATGGTAGCCCTATTACATGTTCTTGTAGTTTTCTAGAGACCAAAGTTAATCAATCACGCGAATTCAGACACAGAATAAATAATAGTGTTCCGTACAGTGGATTCACTTCAGATACTTTAAATAAAAGCAACTCCCGCACGTCTGCCAAAAGGGGAGGTTTGCAATTCGATTGTTCTCGATTTTTTATGTGTTTGAATTGCATACGATCTCTTCGCCAATTTTATCTAGTGGATTTTGTTGATTGTTTTTGTAATTGATATGGGAATACTTTTGCTTACAAAAATCCTAGATAAATCAAGAACAACCTATTCTCACACGGATCCCTTAGAATTTTAAATTAAGAGTGCACTAGAGGTCCTTCTTGATTTTACCGTAATACTCGGTTTTGTACTTATATGAATAAGTATAAATAATAATAATATTATAATAAAAGTATAATATAGGGCTATAATAATCTGGATTTTCTCGTTATTAAATCAGCGTACTGGATTTCTTTCCAGATTTTATCCTATATATCCATATATATTCTATCGTTTATAACGTTAAAGATAAATACAATTTTTTAAAATGAGTTATAATGGGGTTGAATTGAATTATTTAATGATCCAAACCATTAATTATATAAAAAAATAATAAACAAATATGACTGAATATTCGCCTTTGCTACCATACATTTAAATATTCTGCGCAAACTGCGTACAAACAGAATCCATTCTGACGAATGCGTCTGAGATGACAATCTTGAAGATATTTTAGGATTTTATTGATTATTTTTATGAATTTAGGATTTATTACATGTTATATATTTATTATGTGTAGACAAGTAGCAAGGAGATAAATTGATACATATATATGTACGTATGGGCAGGATATTCTAAGGAAATTATTAAATATAAACGTGGAAAAGGAGAAAATAACCGAAAAAAATTGTATGGATTGTGTGAAAGATGATATGTATAAAAGAAGAGTAGAGTATATGACGGCCGATAGAGATAAGTGGGAGAAGAGGATATAATACGCCCAAATAATGGGATAAAGGCAAGGCTATGATGGTACATTTAGTATGTAGGTGGAAGAAGAGGACATACTGACCCCAAGTCATTATATAGTATAAAACAAACCCGCTGTCGCTATCTATCCCTTTGTATGCTTAAATCTTTACATACATGCTTAAAACTACGCAACGGATTTTGAAGCAGTTTTTTAATAGATAGAGTGATCAAGAGGAAGGTTTATATGTATAATACATGTACACCCGAAGCCGGGGTGGGCTAATAATGAGATACAGGCAAGGCAATGATGACACATGTAGATAGGTACCCATTTTCGACTTTCATATAATTCTGAAGTCTATTTCATAAATTTTATTGCCTAATTTCATATTGTTTATATTCTTTCTATTACAGCTTATATATACCTCTCTCGTTTCTAGTGTGTGAATTTATGATGTAATATGGGGAGGCTTAGTCATTTCAGAGGAATATAAGCGTGTTGAAACAAAAGACAACAACCGGTGTGTGTAATCTCCTTATCACGTTCCACGTTGTTAGGGTGGCAATGAGAGACTTGAATCGATCTCTCGTTACATAATACCAAAGAGCATGTGAGTGTTTTCATATTGTTATCTGACTACCAGAGAAGAAACTACGTTTCTGGTGTCGTCTGAATCAAAGGCAAACAGAACAAAAAATAAAGAATATGAATTAATTTCATAGTTCATAAAAATACATATTTATATCCGTAGGACGTAGGACGTGCAAACGTATTCTTTCGTTAAACTTATGGTAATCTTTTATTCACTTACTAGCTCTGCCCGCGGTTTCACCTGCGTGTAATTTATAGCCTATATGTTGTTCTTATGTATATATGCTACATTACTGTAAAGTTTCATCAACAATCCGTTCAGTAGTTTTTGCGTGAAAGAGTAACAAACATCCATCCTTACTTACAAACTTTCGCGTTTATAATATTAATAAGATATATCAAGCACGTTCACTTTTAATTCTAACGCATTCCTAAGTTCATTACTTACTTTCGAATTATACGTTACATTACCTTCTAAATCGTCAGCTTAACCACAAATGTGGTTTCACATAATAAACTATCAAATATGACTTTATATATATGTATATGGTATATTATTCTTCAAAAATATTGAGATATAGTGGAAGTCTAAACTATTACGACGGTCTCAAACCTTGGACAAGTTGTACAGGCCCATCTAAGTCTCAAGTTAAGCAGAGCTTGTGTAATGGATACTAAATAAAGATATAATACAAATAATTAATTGTTTATTGTAAATACATACTATATATACTTATATAGTATAAATAAAAACACCCTGACTGATATAAACAATCATACTCGTGATAAATATTTAAAAGTATCATGTCAGATCGACCTCTACGCGGTTCCCTCTGGAAACTATCTTAGTTAATTCACCACTGATATTCCTCTCCCTGCTCAGCAAATCTGTTGGTATCCTGTTGATTATACTACTGCAGATATTGCTGCAGTTCAGTATTAATTCAAGTTTCGCGCGGGACGCGGTAACGATATCACGTCTGTTTTGATTGCTCTGCTATATTTAATTCGAATCTTAATCATATTGCAATTTTAAGATAATTTTAAACTGTAATATTATTCCAATACTAATAACTAATTGAAATTGTGAACTTTAAACTGTGTGATGCACGGATAAATATCATTTTGGACGAAAGTGTTATTAAAAGTGAACGTTATAAATAAATTGAATCAGCTTTGTGAGTGACAGTGAACTGTGCGTTGAACTAATAAGTTATTGACCTTTCAATAGTTCATTAGCCGCTATAGGATTGCAAGTGCAAGAGATTACATATTTCGACAAACCTAAACATCAGTTATTGGCATAGTGGTCTGACTGATACTTTCAGTGCATTTGGTGGCCCTGGTTCAAATCCCACCGAAGCCAAATTTGTTTTTTCTTTAATTTCTTCATCTTGTCATAATAAAATGTCTTCTAACAGTATTATATGTAATGGATGCCAAACTACTATTCGAGATAGAAGATATTTGTTGTGCGGTGGTTGTAATGGGTATTATGATTTAATTTGCGCTAACGTTTCTGAGCAGCGCTTTTATAATACCCTCACAAAGGAGCACAGGGACGCTTGGAGATGTGTGGAATGTATTAGCAAGAAGCCCAAAAGAGATAACACCAATACACCCGTTCGTGTTGCTGTAGATAGTATTACAATGCAGCGTGGAGCAGCAGTAAAAAGTCCTATGGAGCTCGATATGTCTATAGTGGAGCAGCCTCTGTCACTCACATCGAATCTTAATGACACTGCCAATAATGTGACAGTGGAAATGACAGATTACCAGTCACTTGTTATTGAAATGCGATCGTTTAAAGAGGAACTGAGGGAGGATATGAGAGTCAACCGCGAACAACTTAAAGTTATGACAGATACCTTGTCTGCGCTCATAGGCAGGGTAGCTGAATGTGAAAACCGCATTGATAAACTCAATGACCGTTTGGTTCTATTAGAGTGCAACACAAACACAGATAATGAACCTGGCAACAAATCCCTAGCAGAGTCCATTAAGCAGTTAAAGGCTGAAATAAATGAAAGGGACCAAGACCTTTTACTGAATGACTTGGATATATCTTGTGTTCCGGAGACCGGTGGCGAAAGCCTGCCACATATCTTAAAAACTTTGGCTAGTAAGCTGGGAGTTACTATAAGCGATCAAGATGTCATCAGTACGGAGCGCGTGGGCCGCGTGTTGGAGTTTCAGCAGTCAGACGCGTCGAAACCGACCCAAGAGACCTCTACTCGCCCTCGTACCATTGTGGTGCGGTTGGCACGGCGTGCAGTACGGGATGAGCTGTTGAGAGCTGCTCGAGTGCGCCGTGGTGCAACTACTGAGGGGTTGCACCTCCCAGGGGTTCCGAGACGGTTTTACATAAACGAGAGATTGACTAGAGTTAACAGGATGTTGTTTCGACGAGCGCGTGAATTAGCGGAGCGGCTTAACTGGCGCTACGTGTGGACGAGAGGTGGTCGAATATTTGCACGTCAATTCCATGGCCATGACTGTCCGCGATTCCGCCTAAAAACGGAGGAGGATCTCGAACGCATTTTTGGTCCAGATCCATTTCGTTCTTCAGCCATTAACTAAGTTAAAGAGTGGATATGTTTCCAGTGACGTATCTGGCGATGACTATTTTACTTGTTATTTTCATATTTTACACTTTGTTTTTATCATTTTTTTAATAAGTAAGAGTATAATCAGCATGAAGTACAATTATAGTTATTTGTCAACTTGTGTAACACCAGTTAGAAAAACTTTTTTCCTATATATATATTTTAAATTATCTAAACTCTTCAATAGGGAATCTTATAATAATTTTGTACGTACAATGGAAAGTGTATATAAGCAGTTAGAGTGCTATATTTGCAAAATGGAAACTTTAATGGAACATATATATAGCTATTATTCTTTATTCTTTGTTTTTGATTCATTTTTATTTAATATGTCTACAAATAAGCATATTGGTTCATGGAAGTCTCGTTGTGGTATATTTAATTGTTGGACTACTTATGTTTTTGTTATGTTTGTTGTATCTAAGAGTGTTATGCAGAAACGTAAGTGTGTGTGCACAGCAATGTTGCAAAGTTTATGGGATCCTAATGTACGAATTCATGTTCTCTTTCAATTATTTGGCTGTTCTTTTTCCGTTTATTTTGTATATAATATTCACATGTATTTTAAGCTCAATTATTATTATTTCTCAAATCTAATACACTATCGTAATATACGTATTTTATTAACCAGTAAAATTCAATCATAAAACTAAATTTCTTAAGTTAGCACTATATAATGCTGGTTCTCTGAATACTGGACATGACGACTTTCTCATAGCAATGGATCGTTTTAAAGCTGATATTGTTGCGATAAATGAGACATGGCTACCAGTAGGTCAAGAGGCTCGAGCGCCAGTGGTTCCCGGCTATTGCCTACGTAACGCACCACGCCCTCAAAACATACGTGGTGGTAGGGGAGGCGGTGTTGCATTCTATGTAAGAAAAGACTTAAGGGTCCGATTTGAAAAGCATGCTGACGTCGGCATTGAGCAATTATGGCTATCGACGAGATCGAACGGGTATAGTCTAATTGTGGGAACAGCATATAGGCCACCATGGATGAATATTGATATGTTCATAGATGCATTGACAGACACAGTTACACACTTTTCTAAATATGACTACGTTGTCCTACTTGGTGATTTTAATGTGGATATGCTTAATAGATCTCATAGTAGCACTTTGAAAATAGAAGACTTTTTGCAATGTTTAGACTTACAACAGGTGGTGACTGAACCTACTCATCTCTCGGTTAATTCTCACACATTACTAGACCTTGTATGCACTAATTGCCGGATACATGATGTAAATGTCTCAAACATCACTGGATCACTCGGCCATGCCATGATAAATGTTAATGTTACATTAAAAAAACTCAAAACAACACCAAGTACCTTTGAATATAGAGCTATCAAGAGGATAAATTTGAGAGGGTTCAGTCAGGATCTTATGGCCTTAAATTGGAGAGTACTTCAGATTTTGCCTAATATAGATTGTATGGTGGATAAATATAGTTCCTTCCTTATGACTCTTTTTGATAGGCATGCCCCAATAGTATCTATGACAGTGAAGCAAGATCAGTCTCTTCCTTGGATAACGGACACAATCAGAAGTATGATAGAATTACGTAATAGGGCTTATGACACTTATCGACGTTCTGGGTCTGATGTGCAAAAGCAATATTATAAAGACCTTAAGAAAATGGTAATCAATAGTATTAAAAATGAAAAGTGTGCTTATTTTAATTACTTTATCAATTCTAATGCTGACAATAGTAAGGTATTTTGGAAGAATATTAAAGAAAAAATATTAGTGGATCCTAGTAAAGCAAAATGTTTGCCAGACTTCCTTAGTGACCCCGATATTATTAATGATCACTTCTTAACACAAGCTGGGTCAGATACAGTATCTTTATCTCAATTAACATTTTTTGAATATCACAAATTTGACACACAAAAACCCCAGTTTAAATTACAACCAGTCACTGAAAGTGATGTTGCTCGTTACATACTATCAATAAAGTCCAATGCTATCGGAAGTGACTGTATTAGCCGTGATATGGTACTGCTTACACTTCCACAAACTTTGTCTATTGTCACAGATATGGTAAATGAGTCACTCACTACTGGCTTGTTTCCTTCCCAATGGAAAAGGGCACTAATCACTCCATTGCCCAAAATTGAACATCCCAATGATTATAACGATCTCAGACCCATAAGTATTTTACCATTTCTCTCAAAAATTCTGGAAAGGGCTGTATATAATCAGGTTGTACATTATGTTACTGCTACTAATATACTACCGTCACATCAATCAGGATTCCGCAGGGGCCGTGGTACTGTTACAGCGCTGCTAGACGTGACAGACGATATACTTGCAGAACAAGATGTTGGACGTGGTTCAGTACTTGTTCTTCTCGACTTCACTCGTGCATTTGACAGTCTTGATATCTGGTTGCTTCTTTCCAAGTTGTCCTATTATGGATTCGATGCACATGCAATCAAATGGTTTACAAGTTACTTGAGCAACAGATGGCAATCCGTAAAACTACGTAGACATGATGGCTCATACTCGGTATCCACTCCGAAACCAGTAAAGCGTGGAGTTCCCCAAGGATCCATATTGGGTCCTCTTCTCTTTAATATATATTGTGCAGATCTACCTAACGTTATTAAACATTGCAAATATCACTGTTACGCTGACGATATACAACTTTATATCTCGTTAAAGCCAACAAAAATTAGAGAAACATTGAAGGCCCTTAATGAGGATTTGGGTAGAATAGCTGATTGGTCTTCTAATAATTGTCTCAAACTTAATCCGTCCAAGTCTAAATTTATGATTCTTGGTAGTAAAAAACAGATTGAAATGATCAAAAATAGCGATCCCGTTGTAAAAATTTTAAATACTTGTTTACAGGAGGTTAGTGAAGCCAGGAATCTGGGTATTGTTTTTGATTGCCAACTCCGTTTTGAGAGCCATATCCGGAATCTTGTAAAGAACTGTTTTTATAAATTGAAAGTTTTATATAAAATAAGAAATTGTGTAAATGAAAAAACGCGCATCACTCTATGCGAATCATTAATTTTATCTAGGCTAAATTATGGAGATTTGGTGTACGGACCTCGATTACTTTACAAAACTCGTCGAATGATTCAACGTGTACAGAATGCATGCTGTAGATTCTGTTTTGATATTCCTCCGCGTACACATGTATCTCCGTTCATAAATAGGGCTTCAATGCTAAATATGGAATCACGTCGAAAATTACACCTTGCAATGCTTATGTTCAACCTTACAAAGCTGAAAATCCCAGAGTATCTTTACCAAAAGCTAAGGTTTCGCACGTTCCACGACCAATATGGAGATGGTACACCTAGGACTCTGAGGCCACCATTGGCAGCGCACTCACATAAAACAATGGCGTTTAGAGGATGTTTCCGCTATCAAGCGACCAAATGTTGGAATAATATACCCCCTCCAATTAGAAGTATTCCCTCGAAACTTACTTTCAAGCAAAAATTAAAAGATTTGTTGTTGGAGGAACAAAAGTCAAGTTGATTTGTCTTTGTAACCGTTATACATATAATGTACATATATTTCTTCATTTTCCCCAATATTTGATTAGTGGTTTTGGTTGCTTGATAGTGGTAACACTCAACACTCAACACTCAACACTCAACACTCAACACTCCTCTTAAACACTTCACACTCTTATGCAATAATTCTATTTTCTCTTTTGTTTTTCATATTTATTTTATTATATGAATTGATAATAATTTCCTATATATTTTATGCCTATATGTTATACCTATTTCTTGTTTTAATATAGTTTTTTTTTCTTTTTTAATATATTAATATTTATGATAATGTAATAGGGCTGATTACAAGCTGTGGTCTTGTTACATGCGTCCTCGCGTATGTCTCTGGGCAGTGCCTGAATATCAGTGGTTTGCTGCTTGTATGCTGCAAACAATACACTGAGGTGCTGCCTTTTTACGTATGGGCTATGCACACACACTACGTTACTCATACCGTTTTTTGTTATCTGTATTGCATTTTATTTTATCTGTATAATTGTTGTGTATTGTATTTTGTTTGACTTCACTAATGTAATGTGTATATCTGTTTTATTTTTGTTCTTATTATTACAGTGCCTTTTGTGTGTGTGTGTGCCTTTAACGTGAATAAAATTTTTATCTATCTATCTATCTATCTATTAATACAATATATAAAACGAAATCGAGAGCAGGCTGCGCGTACGCAGTTGCGCAACTTCGCGAACAATAGCGATACTTTCTCCTAATTGAGTTCAACGATCGTGACTTTTGATTTTTGACAGCTACTAAACTCAACAACTCAATTCACATCATTGCAGTCATAATGCTGCCATGTAGGTAAGTTGCCGAGGTAGTTTTGACTTATTAAAGAGCAATACGTATGTTTTTGTTCGTTCTTCTTGTGATGAAACAGCTTTCCGAATAAGCGGTAAATTAAAAGAACAGTAACTGTGACTATTTAATAGTGCTTAAATTAAGTTTATAAAAATAAATTTCTATTCTTATTATTTATTCTAATTTTATTTAAAATCTATATTTTTGTAATCACGTTCAAACTCATTTGATAAGTTTCTTGTCTGTTCTTAGCTCGAAAGCACATAGATACTTTGACATGTCATAATCGACCTATGGACAAAGATATTTTAACTTGATGTGATTTAACTGATGCTTGTGATGAGACAGACATGAGCGGTAGTTTAAAAGAAGGATAACTATGACTAATCAAAAGTTCTTATATTAAGTATATTTGAATAAAGGATTTTCTATTCTATTCTATTCGTGTTGAGGTTGACTTTGTGCTATGTCAACTACGTGTACTCTGGGCTGATGTTTATGTCGTTAAGCAGATTGTAGTTACATTGTGCTTCTGTATAGTGGGTGAGATATGTCAATGAAATTACAAGGTACAGACTGTACTATACCTGCCATTTTGTACCCTATAATGCCGCCTACCTCAGGAATAGCAACGCATGAGAGGTATGATTAAATACTTACCTTATATACTTACAATTG